ATATATATATATATATATAAAACTTTTGAATATACCAACACGGGGAGAAAACTTCAAAAAATGATCTTTTAGGCAATTTTGAGCATATTTTGTGAGTTGTATTGTGTGTTATTGAGTCGCAATAAGCCCTCAAAAATTTGTTTGAAAAAATGATTTCTAGGCAAAAATGTTCATTATACGAGCTAGAAATAAAACAGCACCCAATTTACACAATTCGACTTTTCTTTTTATTTCTAGCTTACGTTTTCTTTATGAACATTCTTTTCATTGTAAATAATAAACAATTTACATATTTTTGTGTCTATGCTTTTATAATACAATTTTTTGCTTTGAAACCCCAAAAGCCTTGCGTTCTTTTAGATCAAAGTATAGTACCAAGTAATACCAAGGAAATAAACTAATACCGGCAAGTCTGTACTATTTTGTAGCACCACTAGTTCTGTTGTGCAGAATGAGTTGGCGTGAAAGAAACGTTCGTATGAGTGTCGAGTGTTTAAAATTGTGCGAATGTAATTGTACACGTGACGTATGTAATTGAATACGCAATTCTGAGTGAGCTTTCACGTACTTGCAACAACAATACTAATCGCCGTCAACGTCTCCAATTGTAAAACATCACGAGAAAAGCCGACAATGTGAAAATTTACCTTAAATTTGTTCAATGCATAAAGCAAGAATATGAAACTCCATTGATAGGCGATATAGCCAACATTAGATATCAAATGAATTCTCTTCTCTTTTCTTGGTTAGTAACATTTAAATTTCATATTAAATCAGTGCGATAACTGCAACGCTTTATCAATTTTTGGCTTACATGAAATACAAAATTGTGTCATATGCAAGACCAGCAGTAGGTTGCGATTTCGCGGCGTGCATACATTTCGTAAGATCTTAAGTTTTGTTTTATATGGTCATTTTTTTGACAGAAAGTGGATGGAAATAGGTTCGTTTCTACGCATTATGTTTTGGTGCCGAAACTGACAAAGGGATTCCAGCGTTTTTACACGGACATTTCTGGTCTTCGTACGTAATCGTGATAAAAATATTTACGCAGGACGCCCCAAAAAACTGAAGATTAAAATTTGAGCCTGACAAGTTAGGTTATATTAGGACTGAGCACGGAACGCGACCTTAGAACACAGTACATAACTTATTTCTTACTACATAATCACTACAAATGACAACTCAGGGCATCAGAACGTTCACGAAACTACAAAATGAACAAATCGCACGCATAACCAGAGAAAGCAATGAAAAGTGACGCCAGGAGCGCGGTAATCAAACTGGATGAATTTGTACCGAAACATGAAGTATTTTCCCCCCGTACAAATGTACATCCAGCCTGGTCCGTCTTCTGTATCGGCGAAAATTGATGAAAAGATAGTGTCAGAGTACACGCACGCAGAAATTTGAGGGAGAACGGTTTAACGACAGGACACTTAAGACAATCATGCCCAAACCAGGACATAGAACAAACCCATTCTGGCGAGAAATTATTTCGACTATTGGAATGTTTGCACAGCGTAGCGTAAAACATGATTAAGAATCACGTGACTAGCAGTGTGTGATGAGTAATGTACTGCAATAGCGGAGTATTGCCGGGCCCACTAGTTCCGATATTCAGAAGAGTATTTGGCAGCGTGTGGGTGTATTCGAGATCGCCTATAGCGGAAGGTGACTGCGAATCTTCCACAGTTCAGTGGCCCTTAACACGCTTCAGTATTCCGATTTGTTTACATCCACTTAATTTTTGCGCTGGGTAAATAACTTCACAAAGATTTAAAATTGAGATACCGAGAACTGCTTGTCATTTCTTTTAGAATAAGTTAAAATTATGTTGTTTCGATTAGCAAGATCGGTGCCTATTGATCACATGGATGTACGTACGAGTCCGTACATCTAAGAGAATGCTTTTTTAAAGACGTCACGTAGTCACAAGTAGAAAAAGCAGAAGCAAGTTCTCATTTGGCAACGTCTAGTAGAGTTTAGTCTACTTCCTGCTTTGAATGAGTCTTTACACATGTCATTAGCAGAAAGGTCGGTTACAAGTGCAAACTGCAGAATCCTTTAACTTCACAATGCATTTTTTTAAATATCAATTTGAGGTTTCCCCAACTGAATCAATTCTATCAAATTACGTTGATGTGTATTTGTTTGCTGCAATTAAAAAATTCAGAACCATTAGTCGGCAGAAGTTAGGGCTAACCCCCATTTCATAAATCCAAATCAAAGGTCTTCGAATATTTCTGCCTTTATTCGTCACGAAATCGGCCGAACTGACAATGGTG